ATAATCTATCTCAAGTATATAAGTAATCCCCTTGGTAGGACCTGCTTGATGGTTGTGAGCACCTTGCAGCTTTTCTTCTTTTTTCTTGACAAGGCACTGCAGTTCCCATCATTTACAGAATCATGGGGGTTGGAAGGGACCTCAGGGGATCATCTAGTCTAACCCCCTCTGCTGAAGCAGGGTCACCCAGAGCAGGCTGCACAGCACTGCGTCCAGGCGGGTTTTGAATATCTCCAGAGAAGGAGACTCCACAGCCTCTCTGGGCAGCCTGTTCCTGTGCTCTGTCACCCTCAGAGTGAAGAAGTTCTTCCTCATGTTCAGCTGGAACTTCCTATGCTTTGGTTTGTGCCTGTTACAGACAGGACAGTGTGGTTGGAGCTGCTTGCGTGGGGCATTGTGGCAGGGCACCTGTAGACAGGTATAGCCCTGTGTGGGCTGCCCATCCCTGTGTGTGAAGCAGCGTGGAGGAGACCTGGAAGTTGCTCTGGAGATGGAGATGCTGTTTTCCAGCTGGCAGTGACCTGCCTGGGGCTTGTGGCTGGCAGCCCTCCCCCCCAAGCTGCTTTCTGAGCCCTGCCACGTGCTTGCAGCAGCGTAGCTGGGTGTAGGAGGGCATTGCTGCTGAGTTACGAGAACGTTACAACACTGCAATTGAAGTGTGTGTTCAAGTGACTGCAGGAGACCGTGCAGTCTTGGGCCTAAGAGTAACTTTTTGGTCTCACTTAGATGCTTTTCATCAGTGTGACTTTGGCTCGCCACCAGCTCGTCCACGCTGAACAGGAACTGATGCGGGGGGTGTTGGTGGGTGCGGGCTGGGCAGTCACAGCATCAGCTCTGCTCCTCTAACCAGTGCATCTCATTGGCTGTGGTATGGCAAGGACAGGGCCTCTGGTGCACACCTTGGCTAGGCTGCAGAGGGACATGCGGTTAGGTGGTAGATGCCTCAGGGTGAGAAGTATTGGTGTAAAAATACTTTGCTGTAAAACTTGGAGAAGTGCGGTCCAGAGTGTCACCCTGGTCCTGCACTGGTTCAGCTGATGTGGTCTCAGATCGCATGGTTAAAGCTGAGCATCTCCACATGGAAGTGGAGAACCACCCAAAGAAAAAATCCTCAGCCCAAACCACTGCAGAGACATCACAGTTTTCTGGTGGACTGTCTCACCTGCACAACCTGGTAGCAGTGACTGCTTCATTTGTCCCAACTTTTGTCCACCCTTGCAAGCTCCTGGGGGCAGGAAACATCTCCTCCCTGTGCAGTTGGTTGGACCAGCAAGGGCTCCATCTGCTGTGGGAGGGGAGAGGCTGCCTGAGTGTGATGTTTATGGGGATGTCAAAGGGACTTAGGAGCCACGACATGCTGGGATGTAGGGATGCTGCCACCACAGACAGCTCTGGGGGGTGGTCCTGCAAGCAGGATGCTTCTCTCTTGCCCAACAGCAACGCGATTAACTTGCCTACAGAATAAACCACAGGTTATGGGCCGTCAGTCTGGCAGTGATGTGGTGGACCTGCCGTCATCGCCCCAGTGTGATGGACGCAGCAGCTCTTCTGCTTGCGGCGGGTGTTTTTCCTGCTATGGAAGAGGCGGCGTGTTTCCTCCGCATGTGCGCACAGCGTGGCTTCCTTGGGGGTCTGACGAAAACCTGCTGCTGCTTTCTGACTTCCAGCCTTTTGTGTCTTCCTCTGCTTGCTGCAGGCCTCTCGTCTCCTGACTCAAAGGCTGTAGAAAGTAAAAAAACCCCAAAAACTAAACACGGAGAAAGCTCTGTGAGGTTATACTCGGTTTTTCTTATTTAGCACGGGAAGCAAATATTCCTGGTCTTCATCAGGGTGGGCTTGCTTTGAGTCTTTGTGGCACAGCAGGCAACGCTATTCCTGGGAGTTATTCCTGTTCAGTCTTGCGCTGGGGACGACGTTATGATGAAGCGCAACATCAGTGAAGACCAGAGAAAGCCCTTGTTCTGCTGAGGATCTGTCCGTGCCGAGCTCCGTGGGTGTGCTGGGGGTTCTCACTGCAGTTCGGGAGGGCTGGGTGTATTCTTTGCGTGAAAAGTCTCCCAAAACCCCACCTGTGTAGGACAACATTGTAAAGAAGTAAATTGGGTTTTTTTAAATTAAAAAGTGGGCTTTTTCCTCCCCGCTTGTATGACCTGGCAGGCTCTCTGCCTTAGCGGCTCGTTACACAGCCTTACAAAAAGGAATCGCCGCTTTGCCGCTGCTGAGTGTGAGAACTCAGGACGCAAACCCACGGTGCCACGTGCGAACAGCTGCTGCTGCTGAAAGCCCTAACCTAGAAAGCAGGGAAACGCAAAGCGAGGCTCCCAGGAGGACACTTCCTCCCCTCCAACGCACCTCCTGCGGCGAAACCCCGCGGGCGCCTGCTTGACTGTGGGAAGCACCTCAGCGACGGCGCTCTCTGCGCGTCTTCCCCGCTGCTGGACCCGCAGCTCCTTGGCTTGTGCTGAATGATGCTCGCGCGTGGCGATGGCTGAGTTTAGGGTTAAATTTTCACGGGGAGCCTCTGCATAACCAGGTGGCAAAGCAAGTCAGAGGCTGAGGCTTGAAGAGGGCAGTAAGCCCAGGTGTCAGTGGAGAAATCGGCTGTGATTGCCCGCAGCCAGGCTCACGCCTGGGCACAGCGTGCACATGAGCAGGACGTTGTCCCCGAGCTGCTGCCGGGAGCAAACGCTCGCTCAGAGCCAGGCGTGGACTCAGTTTGATTCTGAAGTGACGTCCGACGCAGTTGGGACAGCACAGGCCATGGGTGCATTCGAGCAGCTCCAGCCAGGGCTTTTGCAGCTCAGGGGGGGGCTGTGGGACACTGGGACGGGGTAGGGCTATGTTTCCCTGCACTTCCACTCAGTCTCCGTGCTGAGGAAGCGGCGAGGACTGGGTACAAGCAACACTGGTTAAGCCAGCGTGGCTCAGGATCCCCTGAACATCTCCCGCTTGGTAGGTTGACCCCGAACCCTGGGGGGTTTTCCACGTGCACCCCGTACAGGGACCAAGCTGTGAGATGTGGCATGCAGGAACGAGCCACACACACCCCGTTTTCTGCTCCCGTCACACATCCCCAACTGCCGGCTGCACAGAGGCCTGGAAGAAGGCAGGACCCTCTTCATCCTCTCCAACTGCCATAGCAGAGATGGGAATGGGTCGGGCTGCTCCCTGGGTACGGTGGGGATCTCTGTGTGGGCTGGGAGCCGGGAACCCTGCCAGAGCCTGGCTCCAACCCGTGCCAGCCTCCCTGCCTGCGCTGTTAGGACGAGGCTGGTCAGGGACCAGCGCGGGCAGGGAGAAGGGCAAGAAGATGGACATGCCTCCAGCCCACTCCTGCTCCAAGGCCCCAGAGCAGGGCTGTCTGTGGGGACATCGGGCTGCTCGGGCAGGAGGAATTGGGCTGCTGTCCCCAGGGGATGGGGGGCTGCTGTCCTGGGGTCTCAGGGCCACTGTCCCGGGCTCGTAGGGCTGCTGTCCTGGGCGTCGTGGGGCCACTGTCCCGGGATTACGGGATCGTGTCCTGAGCTCCCGGGGCTGCTGTTCCGGGGCTCGGGGCTCTCATCGCGGCGTTGCCGTCCCGGCGCCCTCGGCCCCCCGCGGAGCTCCGCCGCGGCCCCCCAGCCCCCGGGATGC